AAAACCCACAGCCAACATTGTCCTCAATGGTGAAAAACTGAAACCATTTCCACTAAGATCAGGAACAAGATAAGGTTTTCCACTCTCACCACTATTATTCAACATAGTTTTGGAAGTTTTAACCACAGCAATCTGAGAAGAAAAAGAAATTAAAGGAATCCAAATTGGAAAAGAAGAAGTAAAGCTGTCACTGTTTGCAGATGACATGATACTACACATAGGGAATCCTAAAGACGCTACCAGTAAACTACTAGAACTAATCAATGAATCTGGTAAAGTAGCAGGATACAAAATCAATGCACAGAAGTCTCTAGCATTACTATACACTAATGATGAAAAATCTGAAAGTGAAATTAAGAAAACACTCCCATTTACCACTGCAACAAAAAGAATAAGATATCTAGGAATAACCTACGTAAGGAGACAAAAGACCTATGTGCAGAAAATTATAAGACACTGATGAAAGAAATTAAAGATGATACAAATAGATGGAGAGATATACCATGTTCTTGGATTAGAAGAATCAACATTGTGAAAATGACTATACTACCCAAAGCAATCTACAGATTCAATGCAATCCCTATCAAACTACCAATGGCATTTTTCACAGAACTAGAACAAAAATTTTCACAATTTGTATGGAAACACAAAACCCCAAATAGCCAAAGCGATCTTGAGAAAGAAAAACAAAGCTGGAGGAATCAGGCTCCTGTACTTCAGACTATACTACAAAGCTACAGTAATCAAGACAGTATGGTACTGGCACAAAAACAGAAAGATAGATCAATGGAACAGGATAGAAAGCCCAGTGATAGACCCACACACATATGGCCACCTTACCTTTGATAAAGGAGGCAAGAATATACAGTGGAGAAAAGACAGCCTCTTCAATAAGTGGTGCTGGGGAAACTGGACAGTTACATGTAAAAGAATGAAATTAGAACACTCCCTAACACCATACCCAAAACTAAACTCAAAATAGATTAAAGACCTAAATGTAAGGCCAGACACCATCAAACTCTGAGCGGAAAACATAGGCAGAACACTCTATGACATAAATCACAGCAAGATCCTTTTTGACACACCTCATAGAGAAATGGAAATAAAAATAAACAAATGAGACCTAATGAAACTTAAAAGCTTTTGCACAGCAAAGGAAACCATAAACAAGACGAAAAGACAACCGTCAGAATGGGACAAAATATCTGCTAATGAAGCAACTGACGAAGGATTAATCTGCAAAACATACAAGCAACTCATGCAGCTCAATATCAAAAAAACAAACACCCAATCCAAAACTGGGCAGAAGACCTAAACGGACATTTCTCCAAAGAAGATATACAGATTGCCAACTAACACCTGAAAGAATGCTCAACATCATTAATCATTAGAGAAATGCAAATCAAAACTACAATGCGATAGCATCTCACACCGGTCAGAATGGCCATCATCAAAAAATCTACAAACAATAAATGCTGGAGAGGGTGTGGAGAAAAGGGAACCCTCTTGCACTGTTGGTAGGAATGTAAACTGATACAGCCACTATGGAGAACAGTATGGAGGTTCCTTAAAAAACTAAAAATAGAACTTCCTTATGACTCAGCAATCCCACTACTGGGCATATACCCTGAGAAAACCATAATTCAAAAAGAGTCATGTACCAAAATGTTCATTGCAGCTCTATTTACAACAGCCAGGACATGGAAGCAACCTAAGTGTCCATCATCAGATGAATGGATAAAGAAGATGTGGCACATATATACAATGGAATATTACTCAGCCATAAAAAGGAACGGAACTGAGTTATTTGTAGTGAGGTGGATAGACCTTACAGACTGTCATACAGAGTGAAGTAAGTCAGAAAGAGAAAAACAAATACTGTATGCTGACACATATATATGGAATCTAGAAAAAAAAAAGAAAGAGAAAAAAAATGGTCAGATGAACCTAGGGGCAAGACGGGAATAAAGATGCAGACCTACTAGAGAATGGACTTGAGGATACGGGGAGGGGGAAGGGTAAGCTGGGACAAAGTGAGAGTGGCATGGACATATATACACTACCAAACGTAAAATAGATAGCTAGTGGGAAGCAGCCGCATAGCACAGGGAGATCAGCTTGGTGCTTTGTGACCACTTAGAGGGGTGGGATAGGGAGGGTGGGAGGGTGGGAGATGCAAGAGGGAAGAGATATGGGGACATATGTATATGTATAACTGATTCACTTTGTTATAAAGCAGAAACTAACACACCGTTGTAAAACTATTATACTCCAATAAAGATGTTAAAAAAAAAACAACCCTGGAGTAAATGTAGGTATTTAGAGAAAAATGAGGAAGTCTGATTGCCGTCCTCAGGCTCTCAAAATGATTCCATAAAATGGATCAAGACTAAATTAGAGAAGGGAGAAATTATAGTGTTTTCCCTCGTAGTCCCAAATGCAGACACAGGACATCATGGCACTGAAACACATCACCCACATAGCAATTCACGGGAATAGTCACCCATGCAAAAATGGAAAAAAAAGAAAAAGGAATGATGACACTAATAGTCACATTACATGTACGTATACCCCTGGGGTCAAGTAGGGATGAAAATGAAAAAGTCCAAGAAACTGGGAAGGAGACCGGCTAGATTACAAATAAGCTTGGACAAGAGGGTAAAGTCGGATGCTTTTCTGATTAATCTGGGACTACTTAAAATGTTCTGGGCTTCCTGGGATGGTGGGAGAGATATAATCTACAAAGAACATCGTTCATCACCTCAGTTCTTCTTCCTTATTGCTTCCTTCAGGTTGGATGCAGTCTGGATACCCCATCATGTGCCACGTGCAGTCAGTGCCTGTGTTCCTTGATGAGACGATCATAAGATCCAAAGGCATCTGGGGTCTCTTCCACGAGATGGGCCGCAACTTGAAGCATTCTGGATGGATTATCCATCCTCATACCAGTGGGGCCATGTGCAACCTCTGGTCAGTCTATGTGAGTGAGACAGTGCTGGACATCCCCGGGAATCAGGCCCACTCTCGTCTGAGTCCTCAAAATCGGGAGCAGAGGATCAAAATGCACATGGACAAGGGAACCCCCCTGAGTGACTGGAACATGTGGATGGCTCTGGAAACGTATCTGCAGGTACAGAGCAGAAATGGAGGGAAACGGGGACCACACTACAACTCCTTCAACACCGCCACCAGCCATGGGTGCACTGCCTCCCCTGGACATGGGAGACGGCTGCATGGTGGTGTCTCTCTGTGGCTCAGGTTTTACATGTCTAAAGTGGATAATGATATGTGTCCTACTCCTCCCCTCCACCTCAGAACTTTGTGGAAATAAATGAAAGTGGGTGGAATCATTGTGAAAAGTATAGCACGATAACACAGTTCTGGCCATGAAAACTTGAGGTAGACTCGCAGCTTTGCCAAATACAAAATTGAGTGGTTTCTCCTGAGTTATCTTTATAGTTCAGAAGACAAGAACATCACCTCACTACAACAATGCATTACGAGGACACAGGCTGGGGAAAGTGACCTGGTAGCAAGTTTCTCAAAATGGTATCTTCTTACTCAAACCCCGAGTGTGGATAAGTCCTAGTTCCATTATAAAATAAGTAACATGTGCAGTGTTTTTCAGCTTTTCAAAGCCTTCCCTTCCATTTCCCCCATCTAATCCTTGCCAGCCTCATGAAACACACTAAGGACGTATTATCACAATCCTCATTTGGCAAGTGCAGAAGCTGAAGGTTAAAGGGCATAAGCAGTCGTCATCGACCTTAAAACTGAGAGAAAGGGGAAGACCTAGAACTCAGGTTTGGTGTTCTGACTCCAGACCCCCGCGCCTTTGGCACTACCGCACGCCGTCTCTGGATGTTCACGATTCCAAAGATTCCGAGATTACTTCAGGCCGCACAATAAATTTGGACTGTTCCATTTTCCTTAGCAATAACTAATCTGTCTGAGCACATGCGTGAAAGAGTCAGTGTCCCAGAAGCTTGACCTGCAAGTTCAATTCAAAGCCCTTGGGGGCAGACTCCCTTCACTGCTCTCTACCTGGACTTCCATAGCTCTGGGGCTGGATTCAGGCCAGGCGGCCACCTCCCTGACCCCTCGCCTTCCATTCCCACCACATGGTCAAAATTCAAGTCCCGGGCGCCTGTCATCCAAGCTATTCCAATAGCCTCTTCACTAGTCTCCCTGCTTCTATCCATGATCCCAACTGACCTGTCTTCTAAAGGTGCTGACAAAAAAACATACATTTCAGCTACTAAAACTTCAGTAACTCCCTGGTGCCTCCAGGTAGAATGCCACACTCTTTAGTAACTGGCTCTGCCTTTTCCTCCTGCCTCGAGATCCAGATTCTTGCCTTCTTACTCATTCGCCAGCAAATCCAAACTGTTTACAGTTTTCAGAACACATTGCCATGGTCCATGTTTCTGTACATTTGCAAATATTGCTCTTTCTCACCGAAATAGTTTTGCCTTCTTTATATACCAAGAAAACTGTCCGTCTTTCAAAATCAGACCATTGTCACCTTCTCCAAGAAGCCTTCCCTGAATATGTTCCTTTGAGATATTAGTTACTTGCTCCCCCATGTCACAATTGTGTTGAAATGACCCCAGGTTGTCAGTTATTTAATTCAATTCAATTAATTAAAATTTAATTTAACTTAATAAGTTGATTATAATTAGTATTAGATATCTCCTAATGGCTCAGTCTGTGATCTCAGCTGAGCAATAATGAAAGAATGATAGTGGTGTTGGCTGAGACATTCTACTTTAACTTGTCTTCAAGGCAGTGCTTCTCCAGGGTCAGAGATTCCTAAATGATGGACCAGGATCGTGTCCTTTCTAGCTCTCAAGTTCTATAATCCCGACTATCCATTTCAGAGGGCCTTCCAGGAACTGACTGAGTACACATCTCTCCCTATGTCTGAGTTCATCCTAGCTCTACCCACACAAAAAAAATGCATTCTTTTTACACATCTGCCTGTCTCCATAAGGCAATGTGGCAGACTTACTAAGAGTCGAGTCTTCAACAAAGAACAAAAATATCTTTACATCTGGGTGGTGTCTGTGTTTTCAAGTGGAAGGATTCCACTTTTCAGCTACACAAGATGATCCTCACCTATGTCAGATTAAAATCTTTATCTACCACTAAGCTTAGGAGAAAAATAATAATACTAAAAGTAACTACCATTTATTAGAGACCAAGTAAAGTGCAAGCACAGACTCCATCTCTGAGACTGGAGTGAGGCAGAATAAGATATGACACCAGTCACTGGAATGAGCATATGAGAGAATGGAGAAGGAGAGAGCCACTGTTGAGAATTAAATCAGTGTTAAAAGATAGCTTACAACTAAGCATTATCATGTAATTTTATGTGAGTATGGGGGGGGGGCGTGGCTTTTGTAGTCCAGACACCTCATTCTGCCCCTTCCTTCTCTTCCCAGCTCCAGGAGGCCTTTGGGTGGGAGGCATTTGTCCAGCTCTTTCCTGAGTACCAGACCCTCTCTGGCATCCCCAAAGACAACACTGGCAAGATGAATCTGTGGTGAAGAAGTTCTCTGAAAAGGTGCAGAAGAATCTGACTCCTTCCTTTGAGGCCTGGGGCTGGCCTGTCCAGAAGAAAGTGGCTGATAGCCTGCCCTGTCTGCCTGAGTGGCAAGAAAATCCCATGAAATCATATGCACACTACAGAAAGGAGTGAAGAATTGTAGAAATGTTCACTTTAAAACAGATCATTGGATATAACAGATCTAATCCTCACATAATCAACCCAAATTTCAGCTTTATTTTTTTTCTCAGTCTTGTTCAGAATATCCTAATTCATTTGCAACATAGAGATTAAATTAGTGATTTTTCAAAACTAGTAATTTGCATAACTCAACCATGTTTTCTCTAGTTTTATTTTTTAATCTTAAGAGATTTCTTTCTTGATTTGTTTAGTGTTTTACATTTGCTTTACTGGGTGACAGGAACTGCTCAGACCCAAAGACTTAACCCCAGGAATGTCTTTCCTTGGATCCCTTTAGAGCACCTTTCTCTTTATCCTAAAATTATTTCATACGTTTCACAAATATCTTTTGTCTGCATGGTTTGAACACAGTAGTTGGTCAACAGATACTTGATGAAAATGAATAATAGGGGCTTTCCCGGTGGCGCAGTGGTTGAGAGTCCGCCTGCCAATGCAGGAGACATGGGTTCGAGCCCTGGTCCAGGAGGATCCCACATGCCGTGGAGCAACTAAGCCCGTGCGCCACAACTACTGAGTCTGCGCTCTAGAGCCCGTGAGCCACAACTACTGAAGCCCGCGCGCCTGGAGCCCATGCTCCGCAACGAGAGAGGCCACCGCAGTGAGAAGCCTGTGCACCGCAACTAGAGAAAGCCCCCGTGCAGCAACGAAGACCCAATGCAGCCAAAAATAAGTAACTAAATTTTAAAAATAAATATAAATAAATAATAAGAAGAAAAAGAAAATGAATAATAACAACTACATGATAGAGAACTCACTGTGTGCCAGCCAGCAAGTGCTTTAACTGGACCAAGTCATTTCCTGATTGCAGCGACCCTGAGTTAGGAACTATTACAGGTCCTGTTCCAAGTAGGAAAACGTGTTCCTGGAAATTACAGCTCTAACGTTATAATAGGTTAAACTTCATGAAGATATATTTCATATGCATAGGGGAGGGGGTGCTGATTTACTACTTCACAAAATTCTTTAGAATTATTCCTGCAGCATAGAGGACCACGCACATCCATTTCATCTCTACAGATGGGAGCTGCCACACGGCCTACCAAACACCCCATGTGGTTCCTTTGGGAAATGATCAAACAATTTGCTGACAATTCAAAACCTGTAATCTGAGAAAATTTGATGTTAGTGTCAGAAAGATAGACCACGGCAAGCAAACGAAAGAAATACTGGCTTGATAAAAAGAAACGAAACTGAGTTATCTGTAGTGACATGGATGGACCTAGAGTCTGTCACACTGAGTGAAGTAAGTCAGAAAGAGAAAAACAAATACCGTATGCTAACACATACATATGGAATCTAAAAAAAAAGAAAAAAAATAGTTCTGATGAACCTAGGGGCAGGACAGGAATAAAGACGCAGATGTAGAGAATGGATTTGAGGACACAGGGAGGGGGAAGGGTAAGCTGGGACAAAGTGAGAGAGTGGCATGGACATACATACACTACCAAATGTAAAACAGATAGCTAGTGGGAAGCAGCTGCATCGCACAGGGAGATCAGCTCGGTGCTTTGTGTCCACCTAGAGGGGTGGGATAGGGAGACGCAAGAGGGAGGAGATATGGGGATATATGTATACATAAAGCTGATTCACTTTGTCATACAGCAGAAACTAACACACCACTGTAAAGCAATTATACTCCAATAAAGATGTTAAAAAAAAAAAAGAAATATTGCCTTGTTCCATGCATATCAATGAAACCTTTGCAAGGCACGTGGTTGCGTTTTGGTCGGTATCTTCTGTGCTGGAGGATTAATGCTGCTGCAAATCCGTGCTGAGTGGAGTACTGCTAAGCCATGTATGCATATATAATCTTCACTGGCACACAAGGATGCTTAAATTTCAAAGTGACAAACTAACAAGTGGCAGAGCAAGGATTAACTGTAAGAACAGTTAATTTGGATTAACTGTAAGAACATATGATCATAGCTACTCTTCCTCTAGTTACAGGAGCCAAATGTAAGCTCAAAGGAGAAAAATACATAAATGCGCCTTTCTTTAGTGGACTTACTCACTTTTTCATCTGTTCTATGAAGCTTCCTCTTGAGAGCTGCCTCTACCTTCTCCATGATTGGAATGGGGTTGTCAATCAAGGGACCACAGCATTCCCATCATAAGAGCTGGCACAAGACCATGGACAACCAGAGTACTCCATCCTCTGGACCTAGTGACTGGATTGCAGATGTTCACATGACTTAAGTAGAACCAGGCAGTGTCCTTTTTTGATAAGTAATAAAGTTACTGGTGAGGAAGAACAATTTTTTTTCTGAGATCACAGGTTCCATGAGCCATTTAAGCCAGGAGCTGCCTTGTAATATCATCTTTGCATAAAGAGAGGCTGACGGACAATGAAACCCACACAAAGAAAAACAATGACAAAGACA